CTGATGACGTCACTGTAGCTCTGGTGAAGTCGAAGATTGACGAAGATCCTTGATACAAGATATGATTGATAATGAATTAGGCTTTATTGCCTAGGCTGTATCGCGAATATTAAGCAATCATCTAGGAGACACGAAGAAATCTGCTCGATGGATACCACGAATTTTGAATGAGACTCAAAATGAGACTCGAATGAATTTTGCTCAATTTTTCCTAAACAAATTCGAAAATGGTCAGTCTAGCAACCTTAGTAAATTCGTTACTGGCGACGAATCTTGATTATATAAGTACGATCCAGAAACCAAACAACAGTCCATGGTATGGAGCCCAAAAGAAGCAAACCCAACCGTAAAGTTTAAGCAGAACAAAATCAGCAGCAAAAGTTTCACTGAAAAAAGGTCAGAGTAACTGCTAAATGTCATATCAAAGAGGGCTTACCAAGAGTTTTCAAAAATTTATTGGTAAAAAATGACAAAGATTACGAATAAATACAAAAATAATTTTTTTAATTTTTTTTTCTAGTCATCTTACGGAACTTTTGTTAATCCCCTTGTATATACGTACATGCAGTAGTATTTCCTAGCACTAGAATATTAGGGGATAACAGTGTCGCGTCGACAGAAAGGTTTTAAACATCCAAATAACAAAGTCTAAAGCCTACAGATGTTTTCAACGACCATGCCTCCGCAATATTTAGCAGGACGGGTATAATGAGCGACTTGTGCTGCGACTTGCCTACTCAGTTCAATGGAGCACATGTCAAGGTTGACATTGTTATGGGTGTTAGTACTGGTTCCAAGATAGACGACATTAGCTACGACTTCAAAGTTATGACTGTCAGCAGTGACGTGGAAGGAAATATATTTCATCCTACTTTGTTTCACTGCCAGATCCACACGCCTCGCTTCTTTATACAGTATGGAGAAAGCAGGACTCACAGGGATTGTTGAATCCAATGAATGAAACAAGATTGTAACTTCTCTATTCAGTTCTGCAGACCTTATTATATTATATTAAAATTCAAAACAAATCTGAAATATTGGTCATTATTCTATGGCCGATCTGGCAGATCTGGCCGAGAAATGATTTCTAAAATAAATCAGTGCGTCTGTGTACCAAGTTTTATTTAAATGTCTCAAAAGCTGAGGAGTTCGTTTGCATACAAACAGCTTTCGAGGGTTTATCCCGTTGCCTGCTAGTCATACATATGAAAGGTATAGGAAAACTGTTATATTAGTTTAGTTGACCGCACTGTTATTATAAATATGAGCTTTGCATAAAAGTTAAAAAGAAGAAGAGTAAATAATTGCAACAAAATGACAGCAAATTTCGAAAATTTCGTTGCTTGTGATTTTTCTCTTGTTTATTCAATAACTCAGTTTCCCATTGGGGTTAGCTTGATAACGAGACTTTCCAAATTTGGGACATCTGCCATACTACGCATTCAATTCGTTAAGTCCATCTGTCATTTCGCATTCCCCAAGCAAAATCCCAGAAATTCTCTTCCGTTCTGGAGGTAACCCACACATCGTTGGCTAAAGCCATTTTGTGTCAAATCGTAGAAGCAAAACCATGTGGAGAAATGTTTGCATTTACAGATGAATGACAAGCCTGGTAATGTTGCGCGATAAAGGCATCAGTGGTAACAATAGCTTCGATATCGATGGCACTATGTCAGCAACATGCACAATAACAACATTGTGGTATTATGTCGTACACATTTACAACTTGTAAAATTCCTCAACGTTAGCAGTCCGAAGTTACATACATATGTGTGTGCTTGTGTGTTTATGTGCTTATTAGGGTTGTGCCTACATTCTGGCCTAAGTAAAAAGTTTCAAAAGTGTAATGCGTGCTTAAAATGTTTTCCTACTTTTTGCTGCAATTGTAACTGCCTGGAGTTAGATACCATCTTCGATGGGATGTTGGAGTTCTCTGAGAAACACTAATTGGATATCTGAAATTTACTATTAACCATTTCGTCGTTTCAAAAATTCAGGTATTTATTTTGATTTCTATAGTACTCAACTGTAAACCAAACATGTTCTGTTTTAATTACAAGTCAGGTATTTATGAAAACATGAACGAAGACCCGAACGTGTACGAGGTGTGACAATTAGGTAATGATACTGATTATATTGCCACGATTGTGGTAACCCTGCGACCTTGAAACTCTCTTTCTCTTCCCCTTGGATCCTTCTCCTCTCAATTGATATACTTGTCATCGCTCTAGCTTGTTTGGTTCGCCTGCCATGTCGTGGTGAGCAACGCATCGCGTTAAAACAATCCGCCTAATTAAAACAGTAAATCAAGTCTACTATCGTCAAGTACTCAAAAGATTGCGAAAACGAGACAACAAGGTGCGCCCAGACATCGCTCGTAACTGGATCTTTCATACAAGACGACAGTGCGCCGTGCCACACTGCCCTCAATGTGTCCCAGTATTTGGCCTCTAAAGGGATCGTCGTGTAGCAACAGCTGCCTTATTCGCCCGATATCTCACCCTGTGACTTTTTTTGTTACCTAGAATAAAATCAGTGGTCAAAAGAACCCACTTTGAGTCGGTTGAGAACATCCAGGCAGCCGTGACGAGGGTACTCGTTCCAGTCGAAGCGTTCCAGAAATGTTACGAAGCATGGAAAACGTGCTGGAATCGTTGTATAGCTGTACCTCTATATAAAGTGCAGCTCACACAGTGTCGGATTTGGGCTCTGAATATCTCCAAATAATTAAAATAAGGCCATTGCCTACTGTCTGGTGCGGTGTGATTGGATCTAACTTCGTTCAAAATTACACCGGCAAGACTTTCACCGTCAATTCGGGCTGTTATGATTATATCATAAAAGACTTTTTTTGGGCTGCGACTAAGAAACACGACCTGTACAATATGTGGTTGGTTGTCACACAATCTCAAAAGACTCATAATAATAGCTTTATAATAAAAAAAAACTTTGGGAAAAAATGAATAACCCTATACTATTTTTGGGTGCCCCTAATGCATTAGAATTTCATACTTTCTTATTTCCAAACTCTCTCCCAAAACCGCTCTGTAGGGGAACCAAAGTGCCGAGGCGACAGCGCTTCTTTGAAGTCTATGATCTACAGGGTCTCGCACTCGAAGTGTAACCAACTTCAGACGCACGGGTATCAGTCTGCAAGTTAGCTCACTAACAGTTACAGGTATTGTTTACAAATGCACGAAAGCATTTTGCCGAAAGTGAACGCGAAGAAAAAAAAGTCAGACTTGAGAGAGCTAAGGAGTGGCCGAAATTTATGCAGTTGAGTGATCCAAACTAGAGTCATCGATTGGCGAACACGCCCCCCCCCCCCACACACAGATAATGGTTTGGGCTACAATCGTTTTGAACGAACCTGGCGTCAGGGTAAAGGCGCAATATTATCGGTAAAGTATTCAGAATTTTAGAACGTTTGCATAAAAACATTTAGGTGGCAGACCATGGATGTTTCAATAGAACTCGGCACCGTCTCTTAAAGCTCGAGTGAATCAGGAATGATTAAAAAACAACATTTCGAGCTTCTTAACGTCCACACAGAGGCTAATCCGATGTTTTACTCCCTTTGGGCAATTTTCGCAAGCAAAGGCCGAACTAAAATATACAACAGTCTCAAGGCGCTGAAGAAAGTCGTTGTGCGCGAGTGAACTAAAATACCTGCAAGTCACATTCGGGCAGCTTGCGATTCAGTTTTGGGCCGTCTCAAAATCATAGTCCAGGCAAAAGGTGGTCAGATCGAGTAAAAGTAAATTGTTTTCCAATTTCGTATTATTTTCATACACATTTTGAATTTTGAATTGCTTAAAAGAAATTTTCCAAACTGAATTTGTGGCCGGCGAGTGCCGGACCCTGTACATACGTACCGTGTTACATATGTATTTTTATTCGTATCAGGAAGCAGTTGCTTAAATATCGAAGTATGTTTATGTACGAGTACATACATACGAGTACTAACGTACAAGAAGCTTGCATCAATTAAAAAAAAATTAATTAGAAACGAATTTGTCGTCTTGCATTCTCTCTCGATTATATGGACAAGCAGAAACCAAAACAGAAGCCAATCTTCAGCTTTGCAGCTAGAAATTCATTCTTCTGGACGTTCATACACATATATACTTGTAAATACAAACGTATTTATGAACCCAGCCAACTATATTAGGAGGAGTCCACAGACAAGACTGCCATAAGATTGGGGTTATGTGAAGTCGCTTGTCTACGTAAATTAGGCCGAGACGATTGACGCCTTGCTGCAAAAAATTTTCGAACATCGGGCCTTTCGCCAGGAATTTTTTAGGGCCAGCCAAGGCGGCCACTTGCCTCAAAGGACTTTTAAAACATAATGACAAAGTTTAATTCTTGGCTTTAACACTATATTAGGCATAGTAAAAAGAAATCCATTATTTTTCCACTAGATGGCGTCATTCATCTGTATCTCGCGTGGTACAAGCCCGATCGGGTTCCGCTGGGCGGCATTATAAAGATGGCACTTCGTACTAAAAAGTCTTTGTTATTGATTGATTCAATTTTCTTTGAGCGTACGTCAAAGACGGACACTAGCGAAGAGAAAATATGCCATTTTTATGCTTATTTTTGCATAAAATCAAGTCAGGCGGCTGAAAATGTGAACAGCGCCTATGGTGCTGATACTGTTACAGTCAATCTTGCACAATTTAGGTTTTATTCCGATAATTTTAATGTAAAAGATGCTTCGAGGAGTGGAAGATCAAAAGTGGAAAATGTCGATGAAATCATGGACAAGAGCTGAAGGAACCGTTTGAAAACAATTGAAAAAAATTAAAGCATCCCATTTCATGCGAAAATATTGGATTTCTTCTTGCTGGACCTAATATTATATTCATTTTTTTTTAATGCTAATTAAATATTCTATTTTCGGGGAAAAACCACCAGAACCAGAAAAATACTCTTTGACAAAAATTAAGAGTTCTTTCCAGTTTCAAAGAAAAAATCTTCTTTTCTGAGGGTTTTCGGATTATAAATGATTAATTTACGTGTTGTTGCTGATGCATCGATAAAGAATTTCATTTGACACTTATGGTTGGTTTGCTGGGTATATTTTGCCAATAGTTATCTTTCTCAGCGTTCACATTTCAATGGTTCTCATTGGAAATGTTGTGGTGAGTTCAGATTGCGGCGGAAGCTTTTCTGCTTGATGTCACAATTCAAAATCGTATGTTCTAGTTCATTTTTCACTTGTTCAATTTTTTGTGAATAATTGTTGTTGTTGTTGATGCACACAGTTTTGCATAGCAAATACTCGCAAGCAAGTGTTTGCCCCATTTGGATATTTATCTAGTGAAAGCTCTATATATTTTTTTCGTAGTATTTCTTGCAAATCGATGTTCATACGGAAGAGGAAATATATCAAGCATTTGTCATCTAAAGCAGCAACAGTAAATAGCTCTGTAAAATGAAAATGGACAAATGAGTTTCAAAAATAAAAACAAAACCGGGAAAGGGGAAACAAATATTGTTTACGTTGTACTCGACGACGCATTTAAGAAACCCTGCTGATCATGACTAAGTTTATCGCAATATGATTGCCTATAATGCTCACTCATAATTAAAAACAGCACGTAGAGCATTTTACCAGCTGGACCTGTATTAGAAACTTTCCAAGCTGGATTGTTTTCATCTTCCCGGTCAACACGACATTTCAGTGCAGAAACTCTCTCTTAATTCACTGTATCATGTCAAGATTGCAATCTAAATCGCATAATTATTCTTTCCATCGTATGCGACATTTTCCCTTGCTTCTACGCAAAAGTCCAAAATTCTTTCGCAAAACTATTCTCAGGAAAACTCCAAATGCCGACTCATCGGATGTCGTCATCATTCACGATACTGCGCCATTCTGCAGGACACGCATGATGAGTAATCTCTAGAGCTTGATCTTGGTTCGTCGAGAAAGAACTTTACTTTTCAAATGCTCACTCGGTGCAAATTGCACCTGTTGACTATCGTGCATTGGATGTCGACGTCTCAATGCTTTTGATGTTCGAGCTATTTCTAAAGACGACTGAATGTCAGGAAATATTTCCTTTTCGCCTCTTTCACTACCAAACCCATTTCCTACACTTCTTTGTATAATTTTTCGAACTGAAGTTGACTAGACGTTGCTACAAGTGAACCTTTTACCTTTACCAGCGATTTCGATTTCGTTATGATTCAGTAATTCGCACATGGAAATTCCACCAAAGAGGTTTTTCTCGTTAACTTACCCATCGAGCATCTTTGAGTATCCAGCCTTTTTCAAGTGGTTCAATCGAAATCGATTTCCATCATTTTATGGACATTTTCGACAATTGGCCTTTCACATAGAGGAGCATCTTTTACATCAATATTACCAGAACAAAATTGATGAAACCGAAATTGTGCATGATTGGCTGCTACAATATCAGGGCCTTAAACACTACTCGTATTTACTTTTCGCCTCGTTGAATAAAAAATATAGAACTTTCCCTTGCTCTCCTGAGTTAAGTGGTCAACACTTCTTCTTCTTTATTGGCGTTGTTATTATTTAGTAGGAAATCTCATCTCTCTAATGCCATCCAGCGTAATTCAATCGCATTTATAGACCGCGAGTTAGAAGTCACTAAAACTACTTGCTCTAAAATTAATGGATAACTTTTTACTAGACTTTATATAATAGAGGAATGTCATCCTTTTGGCTGTTTGGGTTGAACAATAATTAATAATGGCAGGGTGTATTGATTTTCTATTGCGTGCCTCTCTGGTCTTAATATCTATCAACCGTATAACCATATATAACATTTGTTATTTTTTTATTTTCACTCTTAACATACGATATTTAATTCAATTAACAAAATGTTTACCACAAAAATTATGCTCCTTCAATTTAAAGTGAAATCCGGCCTGACCTTAATATTTATTATTAATTATTCGACGTCAAGTACACACGAATGTTTGTCCATAAAATATATCAATAAAAGTGTCAGGTGTGACTGTCAGGCTATTAAATAGTGAAATATAAAAGCATTCATAATTTCGTTTAAAAAGATTAATAAAATAATATAAATTTCACAGATTTAACTTCTGGATAAATCAGTTATGTAATTATGTATGCGTTGATCCATTTATTATTTTTAATGCAACTTTTTGAATTGTTTGCAAAATATCACAGTACTCCATAGAGTAAATGCAGTAGGTTAATTTCGGTACTACTCACGAAATATTACTTCATGGAGTATTTACGATACATCTAAATCTAAAGAAGTTAAATGTAATGAATTTCGCAACAGTATTCTGAGCGTGGTTTGCGATTCAATTTAACGTTTGATCAAAAGTTTGCGCTACAAAACTTTTTCTCTTGGAAAAATTATCGCTATTCCCGCTTGTGGGTAACTTTTTTTAAATTAATTCACCTCTAATTAAATCGAATTAAGATTATTTTTTATAAAAAATTTTTTGGTTAGAATAAAATCTTGCAGTTCATGATAGAAGATCTGCTACCAGATTTATTTTAAGGCCCAACGTCCCTGTTGGCAGTCATAACTTTAACGTCGTAGATAATTTTGTTGTGGAATATCAACCTTGAAGTCCAACGCAAAGTTACTCCCGCCAACAGATCCTACTTTATGGGCGATTGAAAAATAGAGTCCTCTCTCTCTATAAGCAAAGACCAAACCTTACTAGTCGCTCATTATTCCCATCTTACAACATGATGGCCGACGACAACATGAGATTAGTCGGCGTTAGGAATTTTCGAGGTAAAGGCTTTGTGGATAATATATGGTCTTCTGCGGCTGCGCTGGCTAATTCAAGTAATCCGGATTGATAAAAACTCTTCACTTTTGCAAAATTTCAACGCAGTACCCGCCGGTGGAAGCGAAGTAAGGGAGAGACCTCCACTACAGGTGTAGAAGGGCCCAGTGGTACTTGGTATTACCATCTGGTGCCAAACAGGGAAAGGAAGGCATGAATGCTGTTGTTGACACTACTCGCGTAAACAGTTAAAACGCCTTTTAAAAGTGTTTTTCTCTTTAGAGCAGTTACTTCTGGAGTACTCTGAACGCATGCAAAGTTGAAGTACATTTGATCCCATGTTGGGCCATTGCAATACACATGCATTTGATATAGTTCATGGGATTTTCAATTTAATTTGGATTACTTTCCTATTCATGCGGAACACATTTTACATCCGAAATTTGTTATCCATTCATTTTACCACTTAACGGTTGAAATGGATATTGCCAATATTACATATATTTATGACATGTGTTAATAATTTGCTATTAATTCTGCTTACATAAACATGAACATATACTTTTACATATGTACATATGTGTGAAAGTAATTATTCAGTTTTGAGTACTCGCCATTTAATTTATTTCTTTCAGCTGCTAATTAAATGGTGTTGAATACATGGCAGCTGGCAATTTTAAGCACACGCGTGCATACTAATATGTTTATATAATATAATATATGTTCGATAATAAATTTGTTCAATTTTGTTTAAGTATGATTGAGTGCGGTGTAATTCGACACACATACGCAGACAAGTCATTAATGCAAGCGACGTTCATAAGTACGGGCGATTATAGCAGGAGCCAATGTGTAGGGATATGTTTTAAATCACGTGCTAACCAGCTTTGCGCCAATGACCTTGAAAAATTCAGGTAATATTACCAAGAAGCTGAGGAGCGTTTTGTATAAGGGTGGCAACATCAGTTGCTGTCACTCAATTTCGTTATATAGGGATTCTTTCATAACTCCAGTGCTGTACTTTAATTTTTTTTTTTTATATTAATTCTTATCTTATTCAATTTTGTTGTATTTTGGTGCATTTACATTGCTTATCTTTAATTCCTTTCATTTTATTATTTTTCATTTTATTTTATTTTGTTTTACTTTTTATTTCATTTTTTTTTTTATTTTATTACATTTTATTTTATTTTATTTTATTTTATTTTATTTTATTTTATTTAATTTTATTTTTTTATTTTACTTCATTTTAATTATATTTAGTTTTTATATTATATTTTAGTTTATTTTATTATATTTTATATAAATTTATTTTAATTTATTTTTCGTTTTTTCGTTTATTTTATTTCATATTTTATTTAGTTTATTTTTTATTTGACTGTATTGTTTTTTTATTTAGTTTTTATGTTTTAGTTTATTTTATTTCATTTTTTCATTTTATTTTATATTATTTGGTTTTATTTATTTTATCTTGTTTATTTTTTAATTTTTTTTTTAGTTTTTCTTTTTATTATTAAGTTTTTGATTTTATTATTAATGATTCGAATTTATTCAAAGGTTTAATAATTTCGCCAGAAGAATGGTAGAAACATTATTTTATTCACTATCAATCAAAAAAGCTGTAAAGGTTGAATACATTAATTCATATGCTTGTATATGCTTGTATATATATATATATATATATATTATATATATATTTATTTAGTTATGTGCATATGCTTGAGAAGCCGCAGACAAAGAAATGTAATGCCTTGAGTAAACAGCAAATCAAACTGATTAAGATTAAATGGCAAGGATTTATACCTATTTGTGAAGATTCAAATGTCACGTTATATGGCAGGGTAAACCAATTCACACTAATACACGTGCACACTTCTTTTCCATCTATTCCATACTACCACCAAATCGTCATCATGTTCATGGCTTATCCTAATTGTGACGGTCGCCATGAAATGTCAATGTAATGAGGTGATAAATTAGGGCTTAAATAAAGTGTCTTTCAATTTCAACTGATGAATAGGCTACTTTACACATCCGCAATATGCTCACACGGTAAAGATATGGTTAAATGTATGTATCTATGAGTATGCCATTGAATATTTACCAAAGTGTCAAGAGGTAATTTCAAAGGCGAAGCGAGTTATTTGAAAAGGATTTCGTAACAAATTAATACTAAAAAAAAATATAATCAGACCAAAGATGAACTTGCATTTTGTGTGATTAATAGAAGTGACCGTAACAAATTTAAGTAAACAGAAATGGCAATAAAAGCAGTTGTATTGACTCAATCAGGGAAAAAAAATAAAGTTTTTGGAACAAAATATTGAAATATATTTCTTTGAAATATTTTTATTATATTACAATTACATTTTATGTGAGTTTGTAAGCGAGTGATAATTTGATACTTTTAGTAACCATAGTTTAGTATGAATACAAATTGAAAATGGGTGCATTTTTTCATAGCCAAAATTCAAGCAAAGCTAAAACACCATATTTTTTGAACACATCGGCCTCAGGATTACCTCCGGAGAAGCAGCCATAAAAAACGTTCGCCATGTGAACTTAACCAGAGAGCTACCTACTGTATGCCATCTATGAGAATTTGCACGCATTATCCACTGGAGTAAACGTGGTACAAAAGCAATCCATGGAGCCTCGGTAACTGACTCTGCTGGGCA